CCTATTTGCAGTTACTTGAATAAAACATTTTATGGATGTTTCAAGCCTCCTCCACTCCCTCCCTCTCTCTGTCTCTCAAGCAAGTGCCCATCTGTGATGGGCAGACCCCCGCCTTTCAACGGGTTCTTCCGGACAGCGCAAGAGACTCTACCGATGGGAACACGGGCACGTGCCGCAGCACTGGACTCCAGGTCACTTCTAGCAAGAATTCACCGCTTACACAGCTGCCTACGACATCCTCCATGGAGACCTCTGCTCCCGTCTCCCCTCTCTGCCGGGCTAGGAAGTTGCAGGTTAGCACGAGAGGTCTAGCAGCAAGCAGTGGCTGTGACCAAGTCCTGGCTAAGGCCTGCAGGACCTGTCCAGCTCTAGGCTGCCCAGGATGAGCTCACCGACTGGGGGATGCTAGTAATGCCCAAGTCACGGAGCACTGAAACACAAGCACCGTTTTTTTGCTGGTGGGTCTTGGAGTATGGATCTCTTTTCTGCCCAGCCTCTGGCCCTTAGGATCCCAGCCACCTACTTCACTTAGCTTTCTCTTTCCTGGGTCAGCTTGGTCCTTGCTGGGTCTCGTCCTGGTTCCTCAAGCTCCTTCATTTGGCTGTCTTGGTCCTACATCTCTACACAGGTTGCACAGCTCCCTACTGCTGTGTTCTCCCCTCTCCGTGGGAAGCTGAACACTGGTCAGTCTGGCTTGTTCTTAAAGTTCCCATCCGGCCCCAGACATGATCCCAGGTCTCTGGAGAAATGACCCTCTCCGGACTCTCTGGAGCATCTGTAGCTCATGGGTGGTGAGCCGCTAATTTTTTTCAATGGGTGCTGAGACAGCACCCTCGTGTCTGGGGGGGAGCGTTCTCCCAGCACAGCCAGCTTATCCCACCTCTTGTGAGAGCAGTTAGGGTTGCCCTTGTCAAGTGAGCCAGACTAGGGTTTTACAGCAGTGCTCAGTAGCCTGTGCTGTGCCCCTCCATCAAGCCCGTTCCACCACAGCGCCTCCTGAGACACCAGGAGGCACCTGCTGAGACCTGCCTTTTACTGCCACATCCACCTGAATAGTCTATCCCCACACACGGCGGCATGACGCGTCTTCACCATTGCTCAGAACACATGCAACGTGACAAATTCCCTTGTGGACACGTTGGTTCTGCTATGGTACAGGATCATAGAAAAATTGGGTCGGGAGGGACCTCAGGAGGTCACATCTAGTCCAACCCCTTGCTCACAGCAGGGCCAGCCCTAACTAGATCGTTGCAGCCCAGTATTTGCCAAGCTGGGCTTTAAAAACCTCCAAGGACGGAGAGTCCACAACCTCTTCCAGTAACCCGTTCCAGCGGTTCACTACCCTCCTAGCAAGAAAGTTTCTCCTAATATGCAACTTAAACTTCGCTTGCTGAAACTTGAGCCCACTGCTCCTTGTTCTGTCATCTGCCTCCACTGAGAACAGTCCAGCTCCATCCTCTCTGGAACCCCCCTTCCGGTAGTTAAAGACGGCCATTAAATCCCCCCTCGGTCTTCTCTTCTCTGCACTAAATAAGCCCAGTTCTCTCAGCCTCTCCTAATAAGTCATGTCCCCCAGCCCCCAAATCATTTTTGTTGCCCTCTGCTGGACTCTCTACAATTTGTCCACATCCTTTCTGTAGTGGGGGCCCAAAACTGGACACAGGACTCCAGGTGTGGCCTCACCAGTGCTGAATAGAGGAGAATAATCGCTTCCCTTGATCTGCTGACAACGCACCTACCAGTATTGCCCAGTATGCCATTAGCCTCCTTTGCAACAAGGGCACACTGCTGGCTCATGTTCAGCTTATTGTCTACTGTAAACCCCAGGTCCTTTTCTGCAGAGCTGCTGCCCAGCCAGTCAGCCCCAGCCTGCCCCGGTGCAAGGGATTGTTCTGCCCTAAGTGCAGGACTTTGCACTCGTCCTCGTCAAACCTTGTATCATTCCCCTCTCAAGGGCCCAATGCAGCCCAGTCCTGAGCGCTCCAACACAACTGAGCCCTACAATTCCACAGAGCACCTAGTCGTGCAAGCGATTTCAGACACCGAGCTAACATCTCTAGACACAAGCCTCACGAAGCACCAGCCATCTCATGCAAGAGCAGAGGCAAATATAGCAACAGCAGCTATCCAGGAAATAAGCTGCAAGGCCAATCCTCCGTGGCACCCACTTCCAGCAGGCAAAGGTAGGAGATCTGCATCAAAAGGGTCAGAGTTAAGGTGATTTAGGGGCCTCCTTTGAGCAATGCAACATCCCATTGGCATTTTCTAGGTTGCTGATGGGGTGTTTCAGCTTTAATTTCCCGAACGGTTCATGGGCATTCAACCCACTGCTGGCTGCGACTTGATCGCTGTAATTTGAAGTGCAGGGCGAGATGCAGCTTGCATGCGCGCACAGCCTTGCTGACTGCAGCCTGAGGGAAGTGAACAAAAACAGCCTTCAGCCCCAGGGTTTTGTTTTCTAACTAGGGACTGACAACTCCCCTGCTCTGAAAATCTGTCCCTTGGGTAACAGCAACATCTGATCCACAGGCAAAATCCCTTAGTATCAACCCAACTCTCTTGCCTGGCCGACACTCGCATTGCACCCTACCTGAGCAAGCACTGTGAGTATTGCCCCCAAACTGAAGGCAGGCCGAGTCTATGACACAGCAGGGGAGTGGAAGACTGGGAGAAAAGGTTAAGAGATATAAGGGCTCCTCTGTAAGATTAGATCAGGTCTTCCCACCCTCCCGTCGCCACGCTACGACACGGAGCATAGCCACCGCAGCAGATCTGACATCAGAGGACAGCAGTGGCGCATCTGCTCTGCTTAGACAACATGGTACCTTTTCAGGAAGGATGTCAGGCCCAGTCCCACAGCAGACGCAGGGGTAACCCAACAAGCCACCAGCTCTTAGGCAGGAACTGCAGCTTGCAGGAAAAAATGGTAACTGAACTCTGCCTGGAGCCTCACATTCACAGTGCCTTTTATTTACAAAATATAGAGATGAGCTACTGTCGGATACAAAAAAACCCCACAAAATCACCATAGGAAGATGCACCTTGCTGAACTACAACTAGCACAGTTTGGTTATCAGACTCTCCAGGAGCTTTTGTGCTAGGAAGAACCCTCCTCCTTGGCAAATACATAAGGCCTCTTGGCTGCTCACAGGGAAACGTGGGGGGTTTTGTTCTTCGCTGCTCTGTTAAACTCTGGACAGCAAATCAATCCCACCCTGCCCTGGACACTGCTTCAAACCCTCCGACCTAGCTGCCCTATCGCAGTAACAAGTCATCATGCCCTTTCAAGACAGTGGCATGGGATTCAGGCAGACTAGGTCTTAAGAGTCTCCGGCGGGACAAGCCCATGCATGTGGCGATAGGCACGCGTCCACGCAGGGAACTGAGCTTCCCCCCCCCCACACAAAACAGCAAGGTAATCCGCCGGTGACGTGCAGCATGGCAGGCTGCGGGTCTCTGAGCTGATGCACTGCAGTAGCAGAGCTGCATTGGTTTGAAGCTGCTCATACAGAGGGGAAAGCTTGCATAAATGCAGGGAGGGCTGCAGTGGGTGGGGTCAGAGGGGCTATTACAGGGGTGCCAAGCCGCTTAGCTTGCAGTATTACTTACAGGGGGAAGCTCAAGCCTCCTGTCCGTGGCAGAAGGCTGTGAGGGGGGAGGGCATTGGGGGACACAGCCATTCCCAATCACCAGTGTGTGAGCCCAGGGTGCCGCCTGGGCTCTCAGTGCTTCCATGGCAGGAAGGCTCCTGGGCAGCAGAGCTGGAGCCAAGAGACAAAAGCCCATCCTGCTTTGTAACAGATGAGGGGCAAGACCCAGGGGCGAGGGGACAGGGGAGACGGGAACAGAAATAAAGTGCAAAAGTGGCAGGGGCTGGAAGGCTCCCTCCCCCCGGCCAGGAGTGCATGGTGTTTGCACACAAGGAGGGTGCAGGCGGCTGGTCCTGGTCCTGAGCGCTGGTCTCCGAGCTGCGCTACGCCTTCATGTCCATGAGCAGCGTCCGCTGGGGCTGGTATCCGCCACCCCAGCCTGGCATCACCTGCAACAACAGCACAGACCAGCTCACCTCCAGAGCAGCTGGCCACCCAGCCTCTCCCCCAGCAGCTTTCCCTGCCTTGAGGCGGTGGAAGGTCTCCCCTCCCCTTCCACACAACACAGCCAGCACACTGGACAGCTAATGAGTTAAACCAACCCGGACAACAACACTAGGCCTTTACTTACAGCGTGGGCAGTGCCTTTCTGGTGGGTGGGGGCTTTTTGTGGTAAAATGAGGGATTCCTTTCACTAAGGATGCCCGTGAACGCAGGGGACTGGATTCAATGGCCCAGGAGGCTTTTGCTAGCCCTGCATCCCAGTCCACACCCCCTCTACCCCCCAAAAAGGAATGCAGCTAGAGGCTGTTCTTGGGACACTAGCAGTGCCGCAGCCTGGGAAATCAAATGGTCTTGGGCAACATGCCTCAAGTACATTCACCCCCAGGTTCACAGGCCCCATCCTACCCCCCGCATCAGGCTTGCTCAACGCATTTGATTCCTCTTCTCTTAAAATCTGCAGCCCAAAGGCTTCTGCTGGTGCCCAGAACAGGACCAACACCCAGAGCTGCAGGAAGTGTCTCCACTGTCAACAGGCCTCTGCCCCAGAGGTTCAGTCTCCAAGTACCAGTCGCATCTCAGCCTCCCCGCTGAGTCTATCAGTAACAAGCACCACTGAAGATGGAAGTCTGGGCTGCATCCACACTTGTCCCCTTTGTTACTGAACCAAGGCTACTCCAATATACCCACAGGCACCATGCACCAGAGAGTTAAATGCCTGGCTGTTGCTGGCCAGGGTGGGATTCGAACCAGCGACCAAGCTAAGAAAGGTGCAAGCTTTCCAGCAGTAACAGCCATGCCCCATGACATGAAGATTTGCATTTGGGTATTTGGATCAGCTCCCTGCAGCAGGGAAAGGGTACAAGGTGGAGATACCCTGGCACACTTGGAGACAAGTACTCACCACTTCTTGTAAAGCAGGTTTCCCGCACGTGCTATGCACAACAGCCAGTTAAGTCTCTACCGATTCCCTTCCCAGCTCCCATTGTACAGAGCTGGCTATTTCAGTGCACTGCAACATCCTGCTATGCAGACAGAACAGGCATGGGCAAGCACTGGGCACTTCCAACACAAATTTCTCTAGTGCCCCAGACTCCTGATAGAAGAGCTTCCCTAATGCAGCCCTCACCAACACTGTCGGGATCCTTTTGGTGCTAACATGCCCAGCAGGCCACTGCCACCACCCAGCCTGAGTTGCTGACCTAATTTCCAAGCCACCAATGTTCATTTGTCTATAGTAACGAACGGCAGAGGCTTGGCCTCTTCTCAGCCGTTCGCAGTTGCAGCATTTGAACAGGACTCTTTCCCACACGTAGGTTCTGTAAAAACACCTATTGATGCAAAAATCCCCCTGCTATGTTTGCAGCCTGGGCTTGTGAAGGAGAAGGAGAAGAAGGGCCTAACCCATGTTCCAACGTGAGTGAAACACCGATGGAAGGAAACAGAGGGGAAGTGACTTGCTCAACTTCACCCAGGAAGTCAGTGACAGAGATCTCCTGAACCCAGCAGAGCCCAGGTCTGTCACCCAAGGCCTCCGTCACTGATCTCTGCTGTCTCCCCTCCAGTCTGCCCGGGAAGAAACAGGAGTATTTCACATCACACAAAGATCCGCACAGAGAAACAGGATCTTGTTCAGTTCCTTACCAATCGTGGTCAAGTGTAATCTATAGGCTCGATCTCTGATCACAGCAAAAAGGGGAAGAAGCTGAGGAAGTAGGTTTTCTTCCGTTTTTGTGAAATTAAATTTAAAAAAAAAGTTCAGGCCACTTCCATTCATCAGCTCCTGTTGAACAACCGCCGTAAGATCTAAGGGGACTTGGTCACGGGGACTTTAAACACAGGCTGATTGCAATCGATTATGATGGAGCTTCCTTAAATAAAACCCCTTTTCAAAGAGTCCTTGAAGAAAGTCGACCACAAAGCGGCGCTGCTGCCTTCTTGGGGATCCCGGCTCTTTTTACCAAGGGAGAGCTGGTCTTGAAACAAACTCACAGGAGTATCTTTATACACCTGAATACTCCCGGGGCACCATGGGGTGGCATGTTTGCCAGGCTGGGGCCTAATGGACTGGAGAAGGGAAACACTGACTACACACAAAGCGCTGTCAGAGAGAAAAGGACTATTCACTTTGCTGCTAGGGTTCCTGCGATAGGGATCTCCTGTGTTACCTGGGAGTACGTAGGGGGAGCACAAAGTCTGCAGACAGAGGCCTCATTCTTCCAAGACCATGACAACGCTTTCAAATATAGCGTTTGCAACAGCCCTTTACAACTTGCAAACAGTTTATAGCCAGGAAGTAGCAGCTGTACAGCTCTGACAAACCAGCACCATCGATCCCCGGTTTGCAAGACAGGTTGGTTACCAGCCCCCTGGCTTCACTCCCAGCCTCATGCTCTGACCCCATGTCCCTGTCTCTGCAAAGGGCAGCAGAGTGCATGGCCTGATCCCAGGCAGGTGGACACAGTGGGTCAGAGATGCTTCCAAAAAGAGACAGCCTGGATGCCATGTGCTATGTGCCACGCCAGAGCCTTCTCTGTAGATCTGCCAGCCCTCAAGCACATCATCTGACTAAGGGAAGAGGACGAGTGGTTCCAGGTTGCATCAGGCCAACTCACGCTGCCCCAGGCAGGGTCACACATGGACACAATGATCCCACCCCACGGACCGCGGCTGCTCACAGCTTACCTTGGTGTCCTCCGCCTCTCCCAGCAGCTCCTGCTCGGCCTCGTGCAGCTCCTCTGCAGGGTCATAGCTGTACATCGGCAACAGGTGGTGGCGGAGCCTGTCAAACCTGAGACAGAGAGAGAGCCGGGGTGGTGGTGAGGCTGTCCGTGGTGGGGCTACGGGCTGCCCAAGCAAGGCTCAGAGCTACCACAGGGACAGCAGAGAGGCAGGAAGACTCACAGGGGCTGAGAGCTCCAGAGCCATCATGGGAAGAGAAACACACCTATTATATCAGCCTAAATCCCCTAGACACCAACATGTAGATCCCATGGGCCAAACCCTATGGTCTTTATTCTAGCAGTGCTGGGACCCCACACTTCTCTACATCCCGCTTGTCTCACTTTACACCTAGGGTCCCTGCTGCTTGGGGCAAGGCTGTGTGCACCCAGCAGGATGGGGCCCTGACCCACCCTAGAGGGCATCAAAATCACTATACATTATGAATAGTGAAATCAGTGTAGCTTGACTGATCAAAGGGCTACAGGGTTTGAACCCGTAACGAATGCTACCAGAAGTTGCTGTTGTCCAGACAGCAGTCAGCACAGGGGTGGTGGCAGGCAAGATCCACATAGCAGAGTCAGGCAGCCAGTGCTCATTACCCCAGGGGGTGGCACTGGACCACAGGGAAGGGGGCTGGCGGGAGGCTGACACCCGTGTCCGATTTGTCGCATGGTGGGAAAAGCTAACTGAGAAGCAACTGCAAAGCAGGTGGTGGAGGAGGATGGGAAGGACAGGACGGCAACTTCCACGGCATGACCCTCCCGCCCCCGCAGCTGGGCAGGGAGGCTGGCTTCAGAGAGCTCTGAATGCAGAAGTGACTGACGTAGTAAACCCAGCAATAGCATTTGGTAGCTGCTGGGGGAGGAGGTCCAGGGGGCACCAGGGCAGAGAGGAGCAGGGTGGAGTGCACAGACCCAACCTTTGCTTTGGCCCAAACATCAGGAGTTGAGGACATGCTCCTGGCCAGCAGCTCAGTTTCAACCTCTCTTCACAGCAGGCAATGCAGGAGGGAAGAGAGGTTGAAACCAAAGCTAGAACAGAGCTGGAGCTTCCACGTCGGTGCTCCTGGGCTGTCCAAGCAGTGGTCCCATCAGCCTGTGCTGCAGGAGTGGGCTTGGATGTGGACGAGAACGAGTCCACGGGCCGAGCCCCCACAAACTCAAGTCACTTGTACCTGGGACCAGATTGGAAGGTTTCTCTCCAGATAAGCAAGGTCCCAGTGCACGTCCTCTGTCCCCTGGCAACACCGCTCCCCAGGACAAGAGAACTGAGTGCAGCTCAGGGCCTCTCCCCAGACGCACAAAGGCCTCCCTGTCTGCGGCGCTGGGTCTGAGCTATAATCTCCGCCTGCAGGGTCAGAGATGAGGAGCCCACATGACACCAGAGCCCTGTTCTCCAGGGACAGCATGACTGGCCACACCCCTCCCTATATGCCAGCCGCCCCCCAATCTGCCTCTTACCTCCTCTTCTTCTGAACGTACATCATCTGCAATGAGGGGAGAGAGAACTCAGTCAGGAGGACACAGCGCAGGGCTTGGGTTGATCACCCTTTAAAGAGAGTCTAGCGCTAGCAAAAGGAACTGAAACAGCTCCCTGGCTTTGACCAGAAGACCCAGCCCAGCGCCAGGCAGCTTTTCCCACCCAAAGCTGGGGCCAAGCTGGCACATCCCTTCACCGAGTTGCGGTTCAGACACACTGGCGTTTTCCAGCAGAGAGCTGCTTCCTGGCAAAGACACCCAGCCAGATGCAGTCGGCTCCACGCTCAACTTTTCAACATTTCACCGGCAGGCTTAAGACCGGGATCAAATCGAGATCAAAGACCGGGATCAAACAAAAAGCCACCGCGGATAGCAGAGTGCCCGAGGCCAGTGGTTCTCAACCTTTTTTGTATCAGGACCTATTTGTATACATCGATGGCCAGTCCCCACCCAGTGCCCCTCACTCCCGACCCGCTGCCCCCCCATCCCCAACCCCACAGTGTGGGGCATGGGGTGGGTATGTGGGGCAAGGGGACCCCCACGCAGCCCCTCGCAGGCTGGAGCTCTACCAGCCTACGAAAGAAAAGCCATGTTTTCCCACGTGTTTTTTTCCTTTAAGGGAGAATCCATGTTTAAAGTTTGGTGATCCATTTTTTAAGTTTGTTTGTGACTCCTTCATATATTCTTGCGACCCACAGGTTGAGAAACGCTGCCAACAGACAGACCAGCCTAACAAGTCACGCCCTCCCTCCCACTCTTTGGATGCCAGAGCAAGGCAAGACACAGCCACCCCGGGCAGGAGCCGACGTGCTCGACCCACTGGGCAGAGACAGGATTCATACAGCCTCCCATGCCAGAGGCGAAGGGGGAACACAGGTTGCCCAGAGCCCGTTCAGCTCCGGGTCTCGCTGCCAGGGCGGCTAACAGGCAACTTCTGCTTTGTGAACTACAGCCACTAAGGCAGGGCCAACTGCCTGGGTGTGAACCAGCAAACAGAGGTGCAAAAGGATTACAGACACCCCGCTGCCATCCCACCCGCAACCAACCCTACACGTTGCCTGCAAATGCCACGGGGACAGCACAAGCTCTTGCAAGTCTCTTACCACGGCCAAGATGATGCCGAGGACGGTGATGAAGAAGAACGGCACGAGGACGTAGCCCACCAGGGAGTCGTTGGAGGGCTCGGCAGAGGTGGGTGTGGTGGTGTTACTCATTGCCTAGGACAAGGCTGGTCTCTTCATCAGGGAGAGGATCTCCTGGGTGCCTTTCCCACACACACAAGAAACACACCAACCTCTTATCTGCAACACTTGCGGCTGGAGATTAAGGACAGTGACTCTCTACTCAGCTGCCAAACTCCAGCCCAAGGCTGGGGGAGGAGGGGAGGAGGGAAGGAACATAACCCCCAAGGCTGGATCACGAGTCAGTCAAGGAAGGGGTGGGACACTGTGGACCAAAGGATCTTGCCCGGGCCTCTAGGATCTAGTGCTCCGAGCACTAGACAGTAGGCATCAGCGTTTAGTTGCGCCGGGGTATTCCCCTCAGGAAGGGAAAGGCTTTAAGCTGACGCTGATGCTTCAACAGGGGAGTTTTCCCTTGCCCGCGATCCGCAAGGCACCTGCCTTGCACCGGTCACTACCAGAGAGCCTCTCACCCGCGCGTCACAAAGCACTGGGTGGCCAGGATCTTTACTCCCATGTTTAACCAGAGGAGAAAGACACGTAACAGAGGCCAGGGAGTTGATGGTTAAAGTCAGAGCTCCTGGAGGAGTCACCTCTTTGTGCCTCGGTTTCCCCATCTGCGAAATGAGGACCGTGCCTCCCCCCCAAATCACCCAGCGCCCCTCCCCCTTACAGCGAGTGTGGCAGTGGGAGGGGAAGACGGTCACGCAAGGCCGGAGGCCGGCACGGAGGAGATCGGGCGCAGGGTAACACCTGCCTGCAGCCAGGGCAGGGACCGGAGGATGCACCTCACCGCTGCGGGGTTGCTGCCGCTGCACCTGCGAGAGAGGGGAGACAGGCTTGAGGCGAAGGCACCCTCAGGAGGCGCGGGGTCAGTCCCTCGCTCTGCCACTGGCTTCCCGCGTGACCTCAGGCATGTCACCTGATCTCCAGGGGCCTCCTGCCTCCACCTGTAAGCCAGGCATCGCCGCCCTTGGCGCAGGTAGCGCAGAAGCGCTTCGGGGCAGGGGCTGGTTAGCGCCGTGTTAGAGGGACACCCTGGTCCAGGCGACTCGAGACTCGAAGCAGCCGCCCCTGCCCCCGCGGCAGCCACAGGCACAGGCACAGGCACAGCCCGCGCCTGCAACGCCGTGCGCTGCAACCGGGAGGGAAGGCCGGATCCCGGCCCCCGGGCGCCGCA